ATTGCGATGACTATATAAATGATTTGATGAACGACAATCAATTTAATAATTTTGTATAAAATAGATTTTAAATATGAGGCCTGATAATACGTAAAGGACATTTTGAAATTCATACTATTTTGTGTTTCCGTAAGCTTTTCCATAGTAATACATATGGAAAAGCTTACGGAAACACAAAATAGTATGAATTTCAAAATGTCCTTTACGTATTATCAGGCCTCATATTCATTTAATTGAAAAATAACTATAAATTATAAAAGTATGAAATACTAATTACTCGGACAGGTGTGAGGGAAGTGCCTCCAATGATTACACTGAATATTCGTAAAATTCATTCAAATCGTCGTTTTGTAAAAACTAAAAATACAAATATAGATGGTTAACATTTGAATGATTTTAAAATTAATGTTTATTTAAAATTAAAAACGCATTCTGTTAATGAACTAATTTTGGTTTAATATTTATAATAATTGTAGGCCTAGATTTAAACATTTACAACTGTTTATATTAATATTTTTAGTTAATGATTATTTATGTTCCAGATTACTATGCATCGGCAAATATTTTAGATATAAAAGTAATTTAAAGAATATTTATAACATAAAATATTTCATAAAACTTATAAACTTATATTAATTTGTATTTGAATACCAGTTATCAGTTACTATTGGTTGTGCCTATTTGATAACACACATCCCCTTAAATTAAATATATCTTAATTTATTTATCAAATGTTCGTAATATTAATCATTTTCAAATTCATTTAAATCATAGATAATTTGAATACTGAGACTATTCAATACAATGTAATACAAAGTCAACTATAAAATGTTTAATAATCTTTAAATTCAGAATGCTTTAAATTACCAGTATAACAACTAAAAGTTAATTACAATAATCACTAGATAAATATCGGGGTAAAGAATTTTGGATACGATATACTGTAAATAAGGTATTGATCGCAATTGTGTGGGCAGTGAACCGATATACACAAAAATATGCAATACGTTTTTAAATATTTAGTACCCTGTATACATAAATTCAATTTACTGTATTACTTGTTACAAATACGATTATATTATAGTGTACCTTAATTTTGTGAAACGTATAATTCTGTATAAAGTAACAAAGCATATGCAATATACAAACTATGCACGGTAAATACTATAATATTAAAACCTTAAAGTGCTTACAATATTGAAATAGTTTATATTATTTAACTGTCATAAAACCTTAAGATATTTATTGTACAAATATTAATATTAATAAAATACTATCTAAATATAAAATTGACAAGTACTTACATTATTGTTTAAATGCCATTTTATGAAATGAGTGTATCACATTTTACAATTTCCTTTTTTAGATAGCAGTTAACTATAAATTATACATTAAAGAGTTGTTTTTGTCTAATGTCTCAAATAATGTCTGCATTTTTGAAGTTAAATGTCCTTCAATTCTGGCTTTGATTTCTATACGAAAGGGACAGTTATGCGCCAAACACAGGAATTGCTATCTAGATGCACACCTCTTACACATGTGTTTTATCTCATGAGATATTTTCACGATATTAATAGATCTAAACATGAGATCAATATTGAATTTTGATACATAAAAACTATTTTTAAAAATTCAAAACTTAAAATATTTCAAATAGTAATTTAACTATATTTTTTGGTTTAAAAGTCAACCAAATATTAATTGAAATTCTTGATTAATGAATACAACACTATTGAGAATATTTGATGCCTTAACTCATAGGCGTTGGTAGTGTTGACATTTACTGTCATAACAACACATATTCTATATAAAGAATATTCTGTACAACATATCACTTAGCATTTTAAAAATTATTTTATATCGTAGGAAAGGTGAGGTTGGTCACTAAGGTCCGGGTTTACAAACATGCTCAAACATGTTGATTTTAATATTATATTAGTAAAATTTAATTATTTAGTATTAATATCACAAAATAAATCATTAGTAAAAAATAATATTATAACTGTCATTCAATACAATTTTGTTTGAGTTTAAATAACTTAACAAAAATATGCTTTAATTGTAAACATCCTTATTTTAATTACTTTTTTACTCATTAAAAGTTAGAAAATACTAACACAGCATTATAACACTGTAATCAATATTTGTATACATTAAATAATTTATTTGAAAAAATTATACTGTGTTGCAATAACTTTGATAATCTAACTTAATTACTCTTAATTTGTTTTCGATTAGTATTAGATGTTATTAATAAATGAGAAAGCACATAGCAAAAGTGGACATGAACTCTATGAATAGTATAAAGGTTAAATTAGTATTGGTTTCAATGCTATGCAGTCATATGTAAGCAGAGTTCATGTCTACTTTTGGTATGTTAATAGAAAATGGATCTGTACAAAAACAATTGTAATGTGAAACCATGTTCCCTTGATGTTAAACCGGAAAATATTGGTATAATTTATAAGAATATTATAATATAAAATTAATATATTATCAATTTAATATATTCAATTAAAATAAGTAAATTCTTTAAATTATGTAGGTCATAAAGTAAATAAAAATTAAATAAACTTTTATATATTTCTAATGTAGATCTTAATTATGCTCGAAACTGACTAAAAGAAATATTATTTAGATTTTATATCCTATCATAAAAACGTATAAAATTATATTTTTATTAAATAGACTTTCTAATATAACTTACATCAATTTTACAGCAACTTCAATAAATATAATGAATATTTAAAAAGCTTTTAAGGCACTAAAATGTCTATGCATTTCAATTAAATTGATTGCTGCCTAATTATCAAATTCACTGGCGATTTTAATCCCACATATCATTTTAAAATATTAAATAAGATTGCTACTTTATATGATATAAAATCTCAACGTAAATGTCTATTGAAATCATTTGGCTGTCAAGTGTTGAATATGTTAGTCATTATGTATAAGTTTATACTAGTAATCATTTATTTCACATTAGTATCAACCATTCCCGTTATGACTACCCATACATCACTGGCCATTAACTGTCTGACACTGAGAGGCAATATCGAAAACAGCGCCGGTATTTCGCTTAAATATTTTAATTATTAATTATATTTTATTATTTTTAAATTATTTATATTTTTAAAGGTATAGAAAATTTTGCATTCAACAACAACTTATCCCTCAACAAAGTCTATGAGTTGTATCGTAATTGTTATCTAATTCGTGAAGGTTTTCGATATAAACGACTATTATTTCTTAAATTAAAAAATTGAATGAAATGTACTAGTACAGACTTTTATTTATAAATCATTATCACGTTTTGATATATTTTATTTGTATGAATATATTATTCTTTATTATTATATATAATATTTATTAATAACTTCTAGGTAAAAACTTTCTGAAAGTTATTTATTATTTTATAAGCCATTAAATATATTAAAAGTGTATTTTGTGTTTTATTTCCGTTTATTTATATTGATTATATTGATTTTTTAAAAATTAATTGAAATTGTTTTGAAACATTTATGTATAAAAATAAAAACAATGAATCAAAAACTGAATGAATTTTATATTGATTTAATGTACAAGTGGCAATGATGCCAATCTACAGTAAATAATATTATTATGTTATGTACATAAATGCATTTTAAGTGCAAATATGTTATAAAAATATCCAATAATTAATAACCTTAATTGTTATTAATATTGTCCATTCATGGAATCATATTAGACATATTTGTCAATATTAGGTTATAAGTTGTTACCGTTACTAAAATATTATAAAATTATTAAAATATTTACTAATTAATTTATTAAAAATCAAATTAATATCTTCAAAACTTATTTAAATTGTGCTAAAATTTTTATATTTTCTAAATTCTTGAAACAATGACCCTTAAAGTTTCTAATATCATCGGTATAAATAAACTGTACTTTTAAATAATGACTTATTTAAATACTGTAGGTGGTCAATCCATTTATATTTTGCAAACTTTGAATTATTTATTATAAGGTTTTAAGCAAAGTTTGAACTCGACTTCTGAATTGATTTTCCGGACAAACAGTGGGTAAAGTTTGTAACGATTATAACGATTGTTTGTAATTGTAACGATAACGATTTATCGTAGGCGCTTAGTAACATAACCGACAAAATAAATACTTAAATTAAACAAATGTTTTCTTGTTATAAATAAAAATATTTGCAAAATATGCTGATTTGTTACAAAAACAAAAATTAATAACTGAGAATGTGTCGTGTGTTTTATTACCGTAAATGGCGATAGGGTGGATTTGGATCGGAAACTACTGATAAATTAATATGAAACAAATTTTTATCAATTTATAACTTTTGCAAACATAGGATTCATTCGCATTTGATGTCCACTAATAAGAAATCATTACTTTGTCTATTAGTTTATGACTAAAAACTAAAATTTCTTAGAAAATGAAAATTAGTTCCTTAGATTTGCAGAATATTCTTGAGTATTACTTATAGTCTTATAATAACATTATTTGCAATCCAAAAATGAAAAATTGTCACAGGTCCCAGGTATGCATTAAATAGTAATACAGGTATAAATAATATTACATATAATTTAGTAAAATATACATAAAGTGACTTACGTGGTCAACATATACTCGCTGCTCATAACTTGTAAATTACAAGTTTATAAATATTTAAATAGAAATTGAATCTCTTGCTAGCACAAAAATAACTTTTAATGGAAAATACGTTTGTTGTCGGACTTTTAAAAAGGATTTCAAAAGCATTGAATATTCATTATTTAAAAATAAAATGCTATGATTTAAATGTATTTTATTTGAAAAATATTAATATAGTTTGGAGAAAACAAAGTTGTACTTTATTTTACACACTTTATCCACTTTAATATGTAAATATTAAATGACATAAATCAGTAGCTTTTAAAATCAAATCAAGAGATACACTCAACATATTTTGGTCAACTCTCTCATGATATCATGTGTTATATAATTCATGTGATATCTGACGAAAAGGTATATAAATGACAAATGAAATGAAAAGTGTCTCAAACAGTGCATTGGGTCTCAAAGAGTAAGTCATGTATTCGTTTGTGATTTACTTAACACTGGTGTTCGCGTTCCTGCCCTTCATTTTGACGCAAACCACGAAAGCCGAGTGCATTGAGTTCGGCAAAAAGATTGAGGACGCGGGAGGTCTGCCATCGCTCCGACATATTATCATTATATTCCGTATTCCTGTTTATATGTCAAGCAATTTATAATGAAATTCTCGTTTCTTTATTCAAACCACTATTCAAAAGGAATAAAAGAGTTCACAGAAGAGAATCAGTTGCAGTTCGATGTGGTTTACGAGATATACAAGAATTGCTTCATTAATGAGGAGGGATTCCGGTTCAAGAAAGGCCTGCCATTCAATGGACACAAAGCCGATAACAAAGGGAAGTTACTCAGAAGATTTCTATTAGAAGGTTATTAAGCCGTTTTTGCCTACCATTCCCTGCGCTCTAACCCATATCTCCCACATACCCTCTCATTTAATCATAATAATGTAATAGTTTTTTATTATCAAGATCTACCTTTCCCTACCCCCATGTTCCCAGCTCGTATGCTTTCTTTAAAGTCTATTTTTGTTAATAGTTGTAATATTAAACCATTAAAACTATCAGTAAATATAAAAGTTAACCTATTGTAATAAGAATTATTGACAATTAATTTTGTATTAAAAAATATTTTAGATTTAATTTAATTAATTTTAAATTCGCTAACTATTATGACTAATAAATAATTGAATACCGGAATCTATTGTGATTTTAAAAGTAATTGTTAAAAATAAATAATTTATTGATGATTGAAATCTTATGCAACATTTTCTGAACGAATTTCCATTGGTTATCATTTCTTACTAAAAATATGTTCATTTGTTGGCTTATATTCCGGCGTAAAGTCAATCGAAAGCAATATAAGTAATTGAAATTTTACATCAGAATTAAATATGAAGTAAATATTTAATTATATATGTATTTTGGGTAAACATCTACAGAATTCTACAGAATCTCTCGAGTGTATGGCAAATGACTTTTAATAAATATTCGTATAAAACGATATAATTTATTCAGAAAATTCATTTCAAGCGTTTGTATCATTGAGCAAATGAGACGTTATATATAAGTTTGAGTTTGCCTCAATTGATGCCAATTGAGAATCCTTGCACTTTTCAAATATACTTTCAATTAGGATTAGTATCTCATTCATTTCCTATCGATTTTCATATTTTTAATTTAAGTATAAAAATCGGAGAATTATTTCCGAATGAGTAGTCAATTAATATCGACGATAAACATGATTTTGTGTCTCATTTTACTGGCATTCATACCATTTGTTATGTCAGACGTTATTCAAACCAATTGTTTGGCGTTGGGCCGGGAGGTCAACAGCGTTGGCGGTAATTATTACACATTTTTATAATCATTTGTCTTCATTAGTTTTTAAAATATTTGTTAATCATGTAATTGTGTCATTAATTATCAGATATTTTACATTTTTCTATTAAATATTTAGTTTGGAATTCATTTTAAAAGATTAAATTTTATGATGTAGATGTTAAAATTTAAATACGGTATATTTGAATTTATAAGAAATGTACAGATACAATATGATTTATTAATTATAATCAATTACTATAATTGTATATTAATACTGTATACCAAAAACTAATGAATCATTTCATACTGTATACCAAAGTATAAAATATAAAATAGCACATAAGAAAAGTATATTTGTGGACACTTAAATGGGCAAATGGGCAGCTAATATTAATATAACTATGTTAACTGGACAATATTCATACTACAGTATTCAGTACTCAAATGAACATATTCATTGTACAACTTTTTTATTTCTATTTAAAAGTTAATAAAATAACTACCGTATTTAAATAAAGTAGTTTACTTTTTAGATAGTACTGTATTAATACCAATGACATTTTGTATATAAAATATAATTAAATTAATATATCGATAAGTTATCTATATACAAATGTAATGAATTAATAAATAATTAATTGTATAAATATTTGATGACAACCGCTATCTAACCTGAAAGGTGTGAAAAATTACGCCAAAATGAATAGCGTGTCGAACGATAAGATTTACAACTTATTAAGGGATTGCTATATGACTGACGATGGCTTCCGATATAAGAGGAAATTCAAGTCAAGACCACAACATCTTTACCCCAAATCATCGGATGAGCCAAGAGATCAACTCTCGGACAATGAGTTATTGTATTATATTTATAGATAAAACAATTATTAAATATTTTGATTTTTATGTTTCTATAGTTTGTTTGGTTCAATAGATTTACAGCTATTAATGGATAACTGAAGATCATATCATTTAATTTGTTTTTTCAATACAACGTTTGGCTTTAAAAGTAAAATTAATTTTCTTGGAATCAGAATATTGATCATTAAGTCTTAAATTAAATAAAGAATATTTTTAAAACTTGAGTATTTATTTATTTGATTTATAGGTAAGTAATTACTGAATTCAGTTTCAGTGACAAATTATTACTAACAAGTAAGATATATCTAAATCATAAGTGAATTCTTTATAACTTATACTGTAAGCATAATTTATAAGCAATTAAGTATACACTGTACTAGGTAGAAACTATAAAGAAATTGAATCTAAAAGTAAATAAATTCTTATTTTTTATAAAATTTTAAAAATATAATAAATGAAATTTAATTCATAAAAGTATCTTAATAATTAATATAAAATCTAAAAACTTTAATTCATAAAAATAGACATGATCTTAACTGCTCAAAAACATAATTTAATTATAAAAATAAGTTTTTAATTTACTTCTTTAAACCTAACTAATTTAAACTTAAACTTTTTTAAAACTAATTTACATCTTAAAATACAGCCAGTATTTTAAAGTAAAATGATTTTAAGTTTGAACATTTTTAAATAATAAAAATAAGTTTTATTTATAGTCTTATATGTTTTCTGAGTAATCTATGGTCACAAGTCGATCAATGCTAATCATTTATTCAATGAAAAGTTAGTTTTTAAACCTCTTATTTATGTCTAGTAGTCTTGTAATTAAATATTTAAATGTTTATGTGATGAGTAGTTTAATTCAATCAAGATAACTCTATCCTTATTTGAAAATTAAATAACGCCTCAAATATTATACCGAAAATGCGCACATATTTTGAATACAAACTAAAAGTATATAACGTTATAAATGAAAATTGTATCCAAAACACATATTTGTGAATATTACAAACCATGCATTCAATAAGAGTTTTATATTTGATTTTAATTTTGTAGTATTCAATTAATATCGACGATAAACATGATTTTGTGTCTCACTTTACTGGTATTCATGCCATTTGTTATGTCAGACGTTATTCAAACCAATTGTTTAGTGTTGACCCGGGAGGTCAACAGCGTTGGCGGTAATTATTACACATTTTATAATCATTTGTCTTCATTAGTTTTTAAAATATTTGTTAATCATGTAATTGTGTCATTAATTACCAGTTATTTTACATTTTTCTATTAAATATTTAGTTTGGAATTCATTTTAAAAGATTAAATTTTATGATGTAGATGTTAACATTTAAATACGGTATATTTGAATTTATAAGAAATGTACAGATACAATATGATTTATTAATTATAATCAATTAATATAATTGTATATTAATACTGTATACCAAAAACCAATTAATCATTTCATATACAAAAGTATAAAATATAAAATAATACAATAGAAAAAGTTCATTTGTGGACACTTCAATAGGCAAATGGGCAGTTAATGTTAACTGTCCTCAAATGAACATATTAATTGTACAACTTTTTTATTTCTAATTAAAAGTTAATAAAATAACTATTTAAATAAAAAGAAGTTTACTTTTTAGAAAGAATTAATACCAATGACATTTTGTATATAAAATATAACCAAATTAATATATTGATAAGTTATCTATATACAAATGTAATGAATTAATAAATAATTAATTGTATAAATATTTGATGACAAACGCTATCTAACCTGAAAGGTGTGAAAAATTACGCCAAAATGAATAGCGTGTCGAACGATAAGATTTACAACTTATTAAGGGATTGCTATATGACTGACGATGGCTTCCGATATAAAAGGAAATTCAAGTCAAGACCACAACATCTTTACCCCAAATCATCGGATGAGCCAAGAGATCAACTCTCGGACAATGAGTTATTGTATTATATTTATAGATAAAACAATTATTAAATATTTTGATTTTTGTTTCTATAGTTTGTTTCCATTAATGATAACTGAAGATCATATAATATAATTTTCAATACAACGTTTGGCTTTTAAATTAAAATTAATTTTCTTGGAATCAGAATATTGATCATTAAGTCTTAAATTAAATAAAGAATATTTTTAAAACTTGAGTATTTATTTATTTGATTTATAGGTAAGTAATTACTGAATTCAGTTTCAGTGACAAATTATTACTAACAAGTAAGATATATCTAAATCATAAGCGAATTCTTTATAACTTATACAATAAGCATAATTTATAACCATTGAAGTATACACTGTACTAGCTAGAAACTATAAAGAAATTGAATCTAAAAGTAAATGAATTCTTATTTTTTATAAAATTTTAAAAAATAATAAATGCAATTTAATTCATAAAAGTATCTTAATAATTAATATGTAAATCTAAAAACTTTAATTCATAAAAATAGACATGATTTTAAGTGCTCAAAAACTTCATTTAATCATAGAAATAAATTTTTAATTTACTTCTTTAAACTTAACTAATTTAAACCTAAACTTTTGATTTTAAATCTTTTTAAAACTAATTTACATCTTAAAATACAGCCAGTATAAATTGAAAGTAAAATGTTTTAATTTGAACATTTTTTAATAATAGAAATCAGTTTTATTTGTTGTTTTATATGTTTTCTGAGTAATCTGTGGTAATATTGTTGCACTTTTATTCAATTTTAATCATTTATTCAATGAAAAGTTAGTTTTTAAACCCCTTATTAATGTCTAGTAGTCTTGTAAATAAATAATAATAATCTTTATTAATCATAACTTTGTTGATTAATTTGTACATAATTTACAAATCATTACAAAAATAATTTACAATTTTTTACAAACTTATTATAATTGGTTTCATTTCTTACATGTTTTGGCAAATCATTGAATAGAGATATAGAATATTGAAAGAAGTTTTTATCACAAAAATTATTTCTATTTTTAGGTTTAATTAAATAAACACCATTTTTATGAGTTTTGTTAATAATAAACATAGATTTCCAATGATCAGGCACATCTATAGAGTTATGCAAATACATAAATACTATTTTTAAAACATTCACTTTTCGCCTAACTTGCAGTTTTGATTAATTTCAATAATTAAGTCTTTCATTATACGGCATATAATTACTGTTAGATTTATAGCAGATTTGTTTCGTAATTTTCTTTTGAATTAAATATTTAAATGGTTAAGTGATGAGTAGTTTCATTCAATTAAGATAACTCTATCCTTATTTTAAAATTAAATAACGCCTCAAATATTATACCGAAAATGCGCACATATTTTGAATACAAACCAAAGCTATATATAAATGAAAATTGTATCCAAAACACATATATTTATGAATATTACAAACCATGGATTCAATAAGAGTTTTATATTTGATTTTAATTTTGTTTGTATTTATCTGTTGTGTCGCATCCAACGGCACCAAAATGAGTAAATGCATGGCTTTTGCAAGCAATAAGGATAAGGATAGGGGCACACGATCTCAAGGTTTGTCATATTTTATTAATCAATTTGTTTTGACCATATTTTTGAAACTCAGGGCAGAAGTATCAAAATTAAACACTTGAAAAGTGTATAGAATTTCAAGTTTATAATCTTGTCAATTTTAAACTAATGCATACAAATTCTTATGTAAAATAGTTTAATATTTTATTACATGAATCGATTGCAATTTTATGACATTTGAATACAATGTTTGTTAACTTTTAAGTGAATATAATTAATATGATTTTCTCGTATTACGTATTGAAGCAAATTTCAATTACAAGAAAGCGATGGATAATAGAGTTATCGATGCCTTCCGGGCGTGTCTTCTCAATGAGGAAGGCTTTCGGTTTAAGAAGACATCGAAAATCAAAGATTTCGCACAAATTAAGTCATCTCGTGTTAAGATTAATGCCAGTACCTAGGTATCTGTAATAATATTGCAATGAAAAGTATATTTACATATATTAAAGGATCTAATGTTTAGATTTATTACCATTATGAATTTAAAACTACAGTATTACCAATACAATAAAATAATTTATATATTGTATTTCGCTAATTTTAAATTGTTTTATTGTACTGTACAGTATATTAAATAAAATACAATATAATGTACTGTAAGTAAGTGTCAAAAATATAATTTTCTTAACATAATTAAATAAATATTTTGTTAAAAATCAATTGCAATTAATTGAAATATTGAACAATCAAAGTGCAATAATTTGAATAAACTACTCCCATACAATTTACAATGGTGATGTATATTTCAATATTTATTTGCAATGTCCTAAGCTTTTCAAACTTTTCTATATAAATAAAGAAGTTTATCATTATTATTATTATTATCGATTAGAAAGCTTTGTTTATTCAGTCTTCAAAAGTACTCAATCATAGTATTCGTAAACTCGTTTAAATATTATAAAATAATATAAAAGTCTATGAATTAATAATTTTGTCACAAATAGCTGTAATCACATATGTATTGTGTCCCGAAATAAACAATTATATCAAATTGCCTTGATTTCAAATTAAATACCATTTGTTGTATTCAATTTCAAGTGTTTGTGAAACTTTTTTCAAAGCTCTCATTTCCAATTGGAGTATCGCTTCGAGAATATGTTTACTAAAAGCAAATTGTTTGCTATAATTCTTGTGATTTCCATTGTCTCGCATTCTGTCCACGGATTCGGTGAACAGATCAAAGAGACCCTCACGAAGGCCAAGAATGCCATTCAGAATGGCATCCAAACGGGTATACAAAAGGCTAAAG